GGGCTTCCAGAGCAGCCAACCCCATACCTTGTCCCCAGACTGGAGGACCAGATAGGTCCCGATGCCTTCACCACACAATGACATTTGTGGCACCAGGCCAGCTTCAGAAGAGCCCAAAGCAGTATGGGTTCTGCTGTGGTGAAGGACTGAGTGCTACTGTCTTGCTCTCACAGGCTGTGTGACTTTGGGAAGGTGACTTCACTTCTCTGGTCCCACATCTGTTCATCTAAAAAATTTTGAGCAAAATGGCCAACACACAAGAAAGTATCAGATGCACTCACATAGAACAGCTCATGTTCCACAACACTGGGACGGGTTACCTCAAACTATAGCAATAGCTAGCGTGTATTGAGAACTTCACACATGTGAAGTTCTGGGCAAAGCACTTTCTATACACACCTTCTTTATTTCATCTTTACAAAAACCTTAGCTTATACAGAGGACACTGAGTCTTTGAAAGCTTTATAACTTGTTGAGGTGTGTGCGCGCTGGATTTGAACCCTGAGCACAGCTGAACCCACTCCCTGTCCCCTGGGGCAATGTGGCACACACACTTCTGTGACTGGGCTCTTCCTCAGTTCAGGCCCCAGAGGCACTCTGGCTTGGGCTGCGGTTTCCCCTGAGCCAGCAGCAGTTTGTTGCAAGTGACCCCCCAGATCTTTCCTGAGCTTGAAGGTGAAGCTGCAAAGCTGGCCAGTGGGCTAAGACTGCCCGTGGAAGGTCACAATGCCCTGTGAGGTAGGCGGTGGAACCACTGAGCAAAATCCCTGGCCACAAGGCCATCTTTAATGTGTTAGCAGTTCTGCTTAACAAAAGCAGGTAGTCAGTATCCCCAAGCAAGAGGCATCATGAGCAGAGATGTCCTTGCCCACCTGAGTCCAGGCAAAAACACTCCCCAGAGAGGCACTCTATCATGAAAGGTCATGGAATGTCCCACACTTTTTAAATCTTTGGAAAGTATTTTTTTATTTTAATGTTTGTTTCAAACTGGTGCCAGAGAACAAGATCAAATCTCCACATCAGGGCTGCCTCCTTTCAGCTGTCAAGTGAGTGTTATGATTTGTGGGTATGCTGGAGTGGGGTATCTCTGAATGTAAGACCTGGGGAGCATTTCAGTTGCCATTCCAGACTGTCAAGGGTCCCTGAAACTTTCAGCTGGGATCTTCACGATAAATGGAGGAGCCCCTGCATAAGACTTTCTTGACAGCTGAGAGGGATTTGGAAACCTGCTGTCATCAAAGCAATTCTCTGAAGATTCCTTAAGTCAACCCCTCCGTGTTACAGAGCTGGGGTTGAGGAAATTCAAGATCTTTAGAAGCTGACTTGTTTGTAAGCACCAGAAAGCAACTCTACTGAAAATGAGTTCCTGGACAGGCTAAGGTTGGCTCACAGGACTGAACAGGAAGGGTCAAGAAGGCAGGAAATTGGGAGTCAGGGTCCTTTGAACTAGGATCTTGTGCTTATTCTCTCTAAAATGTGGCCTCAGCTGTCTTCCAGCTTCCAGGAGTGAGACTGACATTGGCTCACCTTGTCCATTGGCTCCCTTTGAGTTCTACCCCTGTGTGGAGATTTTTTTCCCTGTGAGGAAGAGACTTCCCAAGTAGGGTCCACTCCAAATGTAAACAGGAAGCAGATAACCACCATTATGACCTACTGACACTGAGCTGGGAAGAATGGGACATATCAGTAGTGATAAAGTGAAGGAAGGTAAGGGACTGGTGAGTTTAAAGAAAAAGACAGAGTCTTGAGAAAGACAGAGTTGATGAAAAGAATGTTCCAGAACCCTCCAGTAGATGAAATATGCCTGGACAAGCTCACGGCTTTAGTTAGAAAACATCTTGAGGAAAAGGGTAACCCCTTAGGGCTCTGTGGATTGATAGGACAGCCAGCTCTTTGACTCCAATTCTACCCCACCAAAAGACATGTAATTCCTACAACAGCTACCAACAGATTGCTCTACACTTTTATTTAACCTATGTGCCATTTTTATTTGTGTTTTAATTAAATTGGGTTTTGTGACAGACACTACTATTTGTTAATGCAACAACCATCTTTCAACACTTTCCCAAACATGTAGGATCTACATCCTACAGAGCCTGAAGATGCTGGATACTCACTTTTCCAAGATCCCCTAACTTCTGGGAGTGGCCATGTAACATAGTTGTAGCCAATTTATGTAGAGGGAATTTTTCACAGGAGTTCTGGGAAATATATTATATATTTTTCCCCAATAAGGAGAGACTCACAGTAGGGTTATCTTGCCATGTGACTATCTCTGTCTCTGTCTCTGTCTCTCTGTCTCTGTCTGTCTGTCTGTCTCTCTGTCTCTCTCTCTCTCAATCTCTTACTCAGTGATAGCCTCTTTTATACAGATTGATCTTGAACTCATGAGCTCAAACGATTCTATCATGCCAGCCCTCTGGCTAGCTGGGACTACGGGTACCTGTCACCCTGCCTGACTTGTCTCACCCTAGAAGCATGATCGGACAAGGATATGATTCTTGAGGAGCTGTAGTCACTTTGAAGCTATGAGGAGAGCTCACTGGTCTACTGAAGATGGTAGAGCAAGAGGATGGAAAGGGCTTGGAGTCTTTGAGATCATTTATTCTCTATTTCTTATTATTCACAATATCAATAAACTTATACTGATCAAGTTGCTTTCACTTGGGTGTTTTGTTAGCTGTATCCTAAGGCATTTCAATGAAAACAGATGCCCAAGGTAACAATCAATTTTGCATAAAAATGAAGACTTCTCACCTCTTTCAAAGCGACAGCAACAACACCAAAAACAAAGAATATCCTGAAAACTCTCAAACTGCCTTCCTACTAGGCAGGCAGGATCAACATGGAGCTAAATAGGCCCAGCACCATTTCCCTGAGATGTGTGGTCTTGGTTTTCCAAAGCCTCTACTCTTCCCTGATGTCCCTGACTTGTGTCTTTCACTGCATTCCATCCCAGTCCCTAGAGGTAGAGGTGTTTGACCCTGTGACTGCTGATGACCAGGAAGGACTCTGAGCAGGTTTACTCTTTGAGGGAGGAAAAGCCTTGCAGGCCACGGCTCCCGGGGTGGGCTCTGACCACTTGTGGTGTGCAACCTGTCTTGCCAAAGAGATGGAATTGGTAACCCTTTCTATCCAGGAAAAGTCAGGGGCCAAGGGACAAGTGGCTCATTCACAGTCATTTTATTTGTGCATAATGATGTTATATTTCTCTCGCATTAATGGAGCATGAAATTAAAACATATGGGCCCACAAAAACACCTGCCTTTTGTGACCTGGCTTTTGCTATTAATTATAACTCCTAAGGATCCCGCCATTTGCTTCATGTTATTGTGTCCTTTGTAATTTTAATTACATTTTAATCAAGGCTTTTACACAGTCTGTTCTAGGGCTTTCAGTCTAATTATCAGCATTAACATTATTCTGTTCTTTGTTACTTTGTAGAGTCCTGGCCATGTTAAGCATTAGTCTTAAATTTACACCACATGGTCCAGAATTTTAAGTGATCATCAACTAAAGTATAATTTTTCCTTTTCCTTCTATCTACCAAAGCAGAATTTGGGCAAAAAATAGAATTAAATAACTATGTGGACTCTATCAGGCTTTCTAACAGTTCTTCCTTTCCCTGAATGTCCATTGTTTGCTTTATTTTTGACAATTGTGGAATTTTTATTAAAACTAATGATAATCTTTTAATTTGATATGAGATTAGCTTTGGATTTAAAATTGTACAAATTCGTATAATTTAACTTTTAAAGGATCCCTCATTCATTTTCAAAGTTGTTTGCAGGTGTAGCCCCGTGATTTTATAAAATTAATGGTTTAACTTTGGACAGAAGTCAATTCAGGGTTTCCCCCCAATCACCTCACCCAAGAGACAATCACAGGGCTCTGTACCAAAGCCAGTTTGGAAGGACCTCAGCTGCAGACTGCACTGGAGCTCACTGACCAGCTTTTTACATGGTGTTGTTGTCTGTGCTCCAGGGTTAAGCCTCTAGCAGAGTTGACTGATCAAAGGCACGCCCAACCCAGAACTGCTTGGGTGACATTTATGCAGCCACTCAAGTGTTTTAAAATGCAGTCTGCTACATTAGCTGCTGGGAATGGACTCTCTCTGGACACTAAAGATGCATCAGCTTGGACTATTTGGGCCAGGGGAACCTGGAGAGCCACGTGGTGCACCTAAGCAGAAGCGAACAAGGAATGCTCTCAGCTTGAAAAAGAACAAGCTGGCCAAAGAGCAGAGTGTTCTGGATGCAGACTGAAAAGATTAATGTTGACTGGCAGCATTCTACAATGCAAAGAGCTGAGCCAGAAGCAGTGTCCTCCCCATTTTATTCTTGTGCCTCCTGCCAGAGACCTATCACAATGATGTTTCCTGCCAGAGTGGAGCAGGACCACACCACCACCCCCAAATGACATCACAGCAGAGGTCTGCAAAACACAGATCCTAACAGGTAAAAACTCTCACTTCAAAACCACTTCTTACCTCCAATGCTCACTCAGCCACTCCCTTGATATAAACCCACAGCAGTGGTTGTCCAATTTGTGACATTCATCACACCACTTCCTGGTGTGCTACAGAATTCTCTGTAAGAGGCTGAGCTAAAAACACACTGACTCCCACACCTAGACCAGAAGGCCGGAAGAATACTGGACCTAGAAACATAGAAACACCTGCAGTGGCCTTTACAGTGGCGTTCTCTCCAACATGAGTCCTCTGTGTATTTACTTCCTTTGTACTTTGTAGAGGTCTATGTATAGAGTTATTTATCTCACCCTTCTGAATAAGTGCTTCAAAAAGCCTAGAAACGTCACAGCTACACCTCTAACTTTAAAATCCATTGGAGAAACATGTGCTACGAGAAGATGACAGCTCAGACATGAGCTTTGGCTCCAAGCTCAGCTCCTGGAGTGACCTATGGACAGAGGTGGCTTTGAGCCTCCGCTGCGAAACCCAAGGCAGCGCTGGATGATTTTTTGTCACAGTGCACGGCCAACACCACATCTTCCATGTATGAGGTTTATTATGTTTTACAACCATGAAAACAGAGAAAAATGGTTGTTACAGCAAACATTTCAGGTGGAGAAATCAGCTGAGCAACACCCACCCCATCCTTGCAGCCTCCTTCCCACACATCTCCCAGATTGTTCCTGATGTCCTAACCTTGCAAACTCAAAAGCGCTGATAGGGAACACTGAGAGTGGCAAGAATGCCATTGGCAAAATGGAAGCAGAAGAAGGGAAACTTTGAGAGACAACTGATGAGAAACGCACTACAGAAAAACCTTTTCCATTGAGTTACGATGTCAGGGCGGAAGAGTGTGCCGGGGGCTCAGGGTCCATGTGCCCAGGATACTCATCATACGGGGCCTTCGGTGATGCCCTCCAGAGGCAAGGTGGGTGCGCTGTCGGCTGTGGGCATCTCCTCCTTCTTCATTGAAGTTGGCATTCGAAGGCTGACGTACGGTTTATGACAAGCTGTGTTGGCCAGTGGAGGGTAGTGCTGTCTGTAGCAGATGTATGCAAAAATGAGGCCAATCACTCCACCAACAAAAGAATCTAGGAAGCAAGGAGCAAAATGGGAGAAGTGTGTTACTCTTCATTCACATGAGGCCGGTTAAGTCTTCCAGAAAGCACTTTTCCCACCAGCTCCAAGAACTGGTTTGTTTACAGGACACCATGGAAAACTAAAGGAAAGAAACCACACTAGGAGTGTAAATACGAGTATCTTCTGCAAGCATCATCCTTTCTTGCACTTAAAAAAATGAGCACTTGATTCTTCCCTTCTTTTCTTGAACTCACATCTGAACATAGCATGAACTCAGGTTTATTTTCCTGAATTTTAAAGTCAATTCTAAACTCTGAGAAAATTCCAGCCACTTCTCCAGTGTGTCAATATGCTTAGGGGATGTGACTTTTGTTTTCCCTAAGCAAGTCCCCACTAAAGTTCTCAGACCCTGCTGGTGGGCCACAAAAAACCCAGCAGGTACGCTGATCTCTCTGGAGGTGAGAAGATGCCCTCAGAGTCACAGACAAATTGAATAAAATATTTGACAGGGTTGGCACATTCAGCAGACTTCTGCAGGGAGATGTCTGATCTCCCCACTAAGAGGCAGACATCACAAAGTTGAAGTCACAAATGGCAGATGAGGTAGGAGAGCATGGGTACAGGCAAGATAGTCCCTTCCACCATGGGCCAGCCCCTCACCCATGAGGGCATTCGGCTCTTGTGCAAGAGACCCCACGCAAGCAGCCCAGCACAACAGCTCTCGCTGTGTGTGCGCACTGCCTGTATGGATCATTCTTGCCAAAGCATCGTAATGCAATAGAGAAACCCCCTGAGCAAAAGAACCCTTATTAAGGTTGATGCTATGCTGAAATGACATTCTTTGGGGATTTCTACTAACACATTTATTGTCTTGTTGAATCACAGATTTCATGTGGGCAGGTAGCATCTGCCCTACTTTCCCCAGAACTGGGCTCGAATACATGTCCTAATTCCGTAGACTATGCTGGTTCAGGGTACTATGCTAGGCCAGGGCAGGTTCATCCCAGGTCTGATGACAAGTGACCCCCAGAGGCCCCAGCTTTGGCAAAGCAGCAGGCCCATGGCTGATGAGTGTGTCCACCTGGGCTCAGGAGAATGACAATGGTTTTCCCTAATGGCCAGTGCTCAGGCACCAGCTCATAAAATATGCTAGAGCTTTTTATAGATGAAGGCCTTATAGTGGCCCTATTGTATTGTTTTGTTTTATCCTCCAACCCCAGGGAACAGACTCCCAGGGCATTATTTTTATTAGCATCTAAAATGATCAACAATACCTGCATCTGAGCTATTGGCTATCAAAAAGACCAAAGAGCAAAGCGTATACCTCACACCACAGGCCACATCATTTAATCACGTTAGCTATGGTTTGTGTCTCTGCTAAAGAACTCATAGAACATAGTGCTTTATGTTTTCTTGGGTGAGAAATTTTTTTGAAAGTTCATCAGAAGTTTATTTAAAATGCTATGAAAATATAGCCATGCTGAAGAGGTTAGAAACTCAGATGGATGAGCTGAGAAATAGGATGAGAAAGGATCAAAAGGCCTCTGCAGTTCTAGAATGCGATAAGAAAGGAACGGTACAACAGGAATGGCTACTGCTTTTTAGGTGTTATTTTGCCATGCTCTATGGCATAACCTTTAGAAGAAATATATTGTTGAACTGCTAGCCCAGCTCAGTGAAGTAAATACTGAGCACTCCATTTGAAAGATAAGGAAACTGAGAGTCAGAGAGGTGAAGTGCTTCCCCTGACAGGGGCTGAAGCACCTTCGCCTGAGAACACCCCAGCAGGGAAGATCGTGGTTTGGGGGTGAGGATCACCCCAAATACGGTAGCAGGTGACTAGAGGGTTGAAAGGGAAATGAATGGATTTCAGTGCCCATGGAATCCAGATGGTGCTGTCTTCTTACTTAACACTGGGGTCATCCATGGTTCCAATACATGTGTATTGCATGTGGCAGGCATGATGACCACATCTAGGGCACAAGACTGAACGATACACACAAGTTCCTCCCATCCCAGTTTACCATCCCAAGGGGCAAGATGGACCCAAATCAGAGCGGCCTCACAGACAGATGCAGCTGGAATAAGCACCAGGGTATATGGAGGGCTGGGAGCTGACCCAGCAGAGTGGCCTGGGCCAGTCTGGAGCAAAGGTTACTGCTGCAGATGTAACCCACAGGCCAAGACCTGAAGGATGAGCAACCATTAGCCAGGGAAAGTAGGGAGGTGGAGCCAAGGGTGAATCTGCAGTTTTCTAGGCAGCAGGAGGGCTGTGGGTAAAGCTGATAAGAAAGGAAGGAAAGGACCTGGCCTGTTTGAGAAACTGAAGGTGCCTGCCCTTTAATAGAGGGGAGATGACTCCGTAGGACAGAGGAACATGAGGTGACCAGTCATATCGTGCGGGATGGGGAAGAACATTTCTCCCATCCCTCTGTAGCTCTGTTGACCCTTGTCACGGGCCATACGTACACCTGGAAGTCTCATTTCTATTCCCTCAGTGTTGCACCCCATTTCCAAGGCTGTCTCCCTGCACATGGTGTGGTCTAGGTCCCCAGACTGCCTAATTCACATGTGTTTTTACCCAAAGCTCCAAAAATTTTATTCAGTAAATATTTGGTGAACTGAGATGATCTAAATAACATTTCCAAGATGCACTACAGAGTCAATATCACCAGCCACAAAAGGCCATATACGGGATAGTTCCAATTATGTACAATGTGCTGAGCATGCTTGTACACGTACAAACACACACAGTAGATACACACAGAGTAGATCAGTGGTTGTCGGAGCTGGGAGATGGGGGAATGAGGAGTGATGCTAATAGGTTTGGGATTCTGGGGAGTTGATAAAAATGTTCTGGAATTAGAGAGTAGTGATGCCTGTGCAACTTGGATTATGTAAAAAAAAATGAACTGTATAATTTAAGAGGGACCACAATGAATAGAATCATTATGTAAATAGTTACTAATATATTACTAATACTGCAAATATCCACTAATGAAAACTTTTTAAATGTTCTAAAAAGTAAAAAGTAAAAAGGGACAGTTTCATGTTTGCAAATTATATTTCAAGGTCAAGGGGGGGACGGGAAAAAAGCAGGATACATCATACACAGGTACAAATTCCCTATGATGAGTGCTATCATTATGCATATCTAAAAAGTACCAATAAATGTTTTGCTTCAAAAAGAAATAAAGCACACACACAATAAAGACAAATTATATTTCAACAAAGCTGTTCTTTATTAAAAAAAGAAAAAGAGGGCCAGGGATTTAGCTCAATGTTTCCACTGCCTACCTTGCAAGCAGGAGGACCCGAGTTCAATCCCTGGTACCAAAAAAAAAAAAAAAAAAAAAAA